TTCTCTCTTGCATCGATTTCTCGGTCTGCTCTTCCTCAGCTGCACTAGACTTCACCTGGTCTGTCCTCCCAGACTTGCATGACAGCAATCATTTTCCAATCATCCTTACTTCATATTCACTACCTTCTTGTAGCCTACACTGGCAATTTGACCGAGCAAATTGGGACCTTTACTCGCATCTACCGGCTTTTAGTGAGGTTCTTTCTTCGTCCTCCATTGATGAGCTTTTAAACCTCTTCTTGACCTCAGTTTTAACCGCAGTTTCACATTCTATACCCCAAACCTCGCACAAGCATTCTCAGATGTGCGTGCCTTGGTGGTCTCCTGCTTGTGCTCGCGCAGTATGTTTGAAACACGCTGCATGGATCAGGTACCGGTACAATAGAACCACAGAGATACTCCTTGATTTTAAGCAGAAGCGAGCAGTCACTCGCCATGTCATCTATGATGCTAAACGCACTTGCTGGCGGGATTGTTTCTACCATCACCTCTACTTCCTCTAGGAGTGCAGTCTGGAAAAACATACGGAAACTGAGTGGTAATTACTCTCCCGACTCAGCTTCTGTTCTTCGGGTTGCTGGTGTTGATATCGCAAACCCTCTTGATGTTGCCACTGAAATTGGTAGTCATCTTGTCCATATTTCTCAGTGTTTTCATCTATGCCGCTCGTTTCGTTCCTCAAAATCTGCCAGAGAGTTAGAGCCCTTAAACTTTTTTTCTATCAGAGAAGAATCTTATAATGTGCCTTTTACACTTCTGGAACTGGAAGCAACACACTCAGCTTGCCGATCCTCAGCAGCTGGGCCTGATGGCATTTATATTCCTATACTACAGCATTTACATCAGTCAGCCCTTGCAGACCTCTTACAGCTCATTAATCTTATTTGGTCACAAAGTTCTTCCCCAGCTGTGGAAATCTACCATTGTTCTCCCTTTCCGCAAACCGGGTACATACAACAGGACACGATGCTTCCCACTATCATTCCATTGCTCTTACCAGTGCAGTTTGCAAGATGATGGAATATCTGGTAAATAGACGCTTGATGTGGTATTTAGAGACACGGCAGTCTCTCCACTAGTCAATATGGCTTTCATAAGGGCCCTTCTACCATTGACCTCTTACTACTCTTACATACGTATGTCCATAATGCCTTTGCTAATAACTACTCGGTTATCACCATCTTGTTTGACCTTGAGAAGGTATATGACACTACTTGGAGGTATAACATTTTGGCCCAGGCCCACTTCTTAGGCATCCGAGGCAATCTACCATTTTTCCTTAAGAACTTCTTAACTGAAAGACATTTCCGTGTTCAGGGTAATGACACGCTTTCCCCGGACTTTGTCCAAGCTGAAGGTGTTCCCCAGGAGTGTGTTCTGAGCACAACACTTTTTCTCCTTGCTATAAATGATCTGGCCTCTGTTCTTCTATCCAATATTTGGTCATTGCTCTATGTTGATGACTTTGCTATATCTTGTGCAGGTGCTGACTATCACCTCATTGCAGTTTCTCTCCAGCATGCGGTCAACCATGTTTCTAATTGGGCCACCAATCATGGGTTTAAATTTTCTAGTACTAAAACTTGCCAAATTACTCTCGCTAGACGCTCTGTCGTCTCTGATAATCTATTGTACCTATATGGCTCGCGTATCCCAGAACGTGATATGGTCAGGTTTCTAGGCCTTCTGTTTGACCGTAGGTTATCCTGGAAACCTCACATTACCTCTCTGAAGGCAACTTGTCATAGCCAGCTGAACCTCCTTAAAACCCTCACTCATCTTGCATGGGGGGGGGGGCTGATCATAGAACTATCCTTCGACTACATTTGGCCCTAATTTTATCGAAACTCGATTATGATGACCAGATATATTCAGCAGCCTCTCCTGCAACTCTCTCTCTAGCCTTAATCCCATCCATCACCAGGGATTGCGTTTATGCCTTGGTGCTTTTCGCTCTTCACCGGTTGAGAGCCTCTATGCAGAGGCGAATATTCCATCCTTGTCCGATCACCATGATGCTCATTGCCTTCGCTGTTATGTTCACTCTCATGACTTCCACAATCTTTCCATATACAGAATAGTCACTGATATTAGTAGACATTCTTTATTTGTTCGTCGCCTCTGTTTACTCCGTCCCTTTTCTCTTCGCCTACATTCACTCTTCCTACGGTGGCTTCTCACTCTTTTTCTTAACCACTTCCAATCTCATTCTCATGCCATCGCAGTGTACACCAATGGTTCCAAGTCTTTTGACGGTGTCGGATTTGCAGCGGTGTTTCCAGACAGCGTTGTGCAAGGGCATTTATTATCCCCGGCTAGCCTTTTTACGGCTGAATTGTATGCCATTCTCATAGCACTTATCCGTATTGCACCTATGCCTGTATCACCATTTGTGGTCGTTTCAGACTCCCTTAGTGCTTTACAAGCTATACGAAAATTTTATACACCTCATCCCCTGGTTCTTCGTATCCAACTATGGTTATGCCTTATCTCTAGCAAGCACAAAGATATTGTGTTTTGTTGGGTCCCCAGTCATGTTGACATACAGGGCAATGAACAGGCTGACACTGCTGCATGGTCAGCAGTACATGACCTCTCAGTTTCATATAGAGGCGTTCCATTCACAGACTATTTTGCTATAATTGCTACCCACCTTTGCACCCGTTGGCAATAACGTTGGTCTGATCTGCTCTATAATAAACTACGTTCTATTAAACAGAGTATAGGTTTTCAGCCGTCTTCTTATCAGTGTCGAGGTTGGAAGACTACTCTCTCTCCCGTCTTCGCATTGGCCACCCTCGTCTTATGGTTATCTCATGGAGAGGCGCCCTGTTCCACTCTGTGAGAATTGTCAGGTTCCAGTTTCTGTTTGCCACATTCTGTTGGACTAACCACTCTACCAATGAGCACGCAGAATTTATTTCCGTCATAACCGCTCTACTGCCCTAAGTTTCGTTTCTTACTGATGGACCCTCCTTTTTTTTTTTTAGGGTACCTATTATATCTATGTGACTCTGATGGGTTAGTATTATACCCCTTAAAGAATATATTATCAATTTACATACACTTTGTAACTTACACCAAAGTGGTTGGGCCACTTACCTTTTATATCCTACCTCTCCCCCCCTCCAACCCTTTTCCAATATTTCCATCCTTACCCATCCTTCTTCCTTACCCATCTTACCAAAGCTCTGGTTATTAGAATCCAGAATCCGGACCCTCCTTTAACCCAGACTCTCTCATTGACTTTTGGACAGCAACTAATTTACTGCACAAACTCTGATGATGATGCCTCTAGTACTCTTCATGGCCTTTTCTACCTCAATCTCTTGCTACCCCCTACCCCTGCACTGTCCACTGTCCTGCTGCACTCCATGACCTAATAATCATCCCTCCCTCTTGTTACCCATTACTCCTGCACCCTTCCCTGCCCAGTGGTGCTGTATGACCCTTGTAGGTTTAGCACTTCTTTTTTATTATAATAATAATGTGGGTTACATCCTAGGGATAGACCCCAGTGGAAATAAACCACACTGGCTTTATCTACTTATCCTGGGTCATGCAGTTGGGAGAGTCATTTAAATTGTAATATCCATGCACTTGTAGAAAGACAGAGAATAAGTGAAGGTGAATGTGTGTAAAAAAAAAGAAACATAACTAAACCATCGCTACAGTTTATATTTCTCATTAACATAGCATTCACTAGTGAGTTTTTTACAAATTGTGATCATTACTTGGAATGTGTTAATATTATATTAATGTTTAACTTTAAATTATCTGCTTTCAATCCTCAGTTATCATATTATAAAACTATGGGTAGGTTACATGTTAGTCATTTTTGAACTCTACACAAGGTATCAGATGTTAGCATTCCTTCAAATTTATACTAGTGTTTTGCTCGCTAAAACTTTTATTAAATTACATTAACAAATACAAATAAAATCATGATGAAGTGAAGGTAGAGTTTACCAGATATGTTTGTGCCATATATGTCATATCTGTACTTCAACTTTTTCCATCTCACATTACAATACATTTCAGTCTTAAAACAAAGCTCCATCAGATAAGCTAAAGAAATTTAAAGAATACATATTTCTAAATCTGTGAATAAGATATGCAATATGGTAAAAATGGACATTGCTAGAGCAAAGAAATGAATAATAATTAGAAAATTAAATGAGAATAGTACAGTGCAACCTTGGTACCCAAAATTAATTCATTCCAGAAGGCTCTTCGAGTACCGAACGAATTTTTCCCAACCAATATTCTTTTTGGTTGGCTATCACTAATCTTCGTAGGCCCCATGGTGACTTATCTATAAAGATAATATAAAAAAAATGCAAAGAAACACTAAGTAGTTTACAGTAAAGTTCTGGTAGGTCATGTTTGTTTGGTTGAATGCCGAGCTAATAGTTGACTAACGAGCCATTTTTTTTTTAACTGACCAAAGCACTCGAATACCGAATTGTTCGAGTAGGGAGCTGCTCAAGTACTGATGTTCCACTGTATTTACACAAATTTAGCAGAATAATTACACGTGGGCAGAGTGACTGTGAACGAGAAACTAAGTGTAGGACTATAGAACGGGTAGAATACTTTATGTATTACTGTCTCGGCTTGACTCGCAAAATCATGACACAATTGCTCACATGCTAGCCTGAGTTTTACGACTCACTTGCCCCGAGTTCAATCCCCACCCACACTGTGGTCAGTATTACTGTATTGGTAACTGCCCTTTACCCTAGTCACTTCTTTCACTTGCTCTATCTCACCAACTTTATATGGATCTACCATTTATTACCAGCAATATACCCAGCACATGTACCTTATGTTTCTTAGCTTCACAGCAGGATAAATCCTGTTATTCATATACATTATTATATTAAACAATAATGTTATCACTCTTAAGATAACATGAAAGCTAATGGTGAGATCTATCTTCATTGTCATTTCCAGTTTAAAATGTACAGTATTTGTTCTGCATTTATTTATACTTACAGTTAATGACACTCCTCCGTGGAGACTCGGACGCATTGAGGAAACAGATCAGGAGACTCCAGTATGAACCACATGAGCTGGGGTCTCCCCTTCTCAACGCCTTCAAGCTCTTCGCTCCTCAACTAGAGAACGTCGAGCACTATCACCACCTCGTCGAGCTTTAGATGCTGATAAGGGTCAATCAAGGGATACAAAAGCCTCCAGTGCTTGCCAAGATCCCCTGATAATGGTGTCTGTTGTGTTGTAATAATGAGATTCTCTGTGACATTTGAAGCTTAGTAGCTGAGTTTCAGCTAAAACTTCCTTATAAGAGCAATGATTGTTTAAGACAATTGCTCTTATTTAGGGATAAGACAATTGCTCTTATTTAGGGACTGGTTAACCAAAATTTTGCTTTCCAGCACTTTTGATATTCATGTGCATACTACTGGTATATGTTGATTGAAATAATTTTAACACACACACACACACACACACACACACACACACACACACACACACACACACACACACTCACACACACTCTCACACACACTCTCACACACACTCTCACACACACTCTCACTCTCTCACACTCTCACACTCACACTCTCACTCTCACTCTCTCACACTCTCACACTCACACTCTTACTATGTTACACTAAAATACTGTAAGCAAGCTTTTAATGCGGTGCCACATACAAGGCTACTGAGAAATCAAGCCAAGTTAACTAGAAAAGTAATAGTAATAATGGATAAGAAAGTTGAACAATAGAAAAAAATTTTAATGTAAAATATTGACCAAAGTTGAGCCTGTGGCTTGACTTTCCAGGTGACTGCCTGCTTAGCCAGGCTGCTGTTATCTGCAGCCTTTAGGCCCGTACAGAAATTACACCGAATCTGATTCAGCACTTGCTGTAGGAACCAGTTGTTTCCTCTTGAAAACTTTATATCAACTGGTAAAAGACTAAAGAGTAATGGTGGGTGGATGTTGACAGATTTCTCTAATGAAGGTTATAATCCAAGAATGTGAAATTTTATGGAAATTTATAGAATTATGGAGGCACAGAGTTGACAGTCTGGACACAATTTATGCATTGGTGCTTTTGCCCGCTTTGAGTCTTATTTCAAGCCAACTCCATTGCTCAATTCAACCCAGTTCCTGTTTCACTAATATGCGTTCCATTTTCTTGACCGAGTGCAAGAAACTGCCCATTCAGCTATACATCAGAATTACCTTATAAAATGAACTGAAGTCAGTAATTTGCCCAATTTTACACAAAATTCCAATTTAAAGAGTCCAAAATGACGACTATGTGTGTTCCAGCAACTAAGCAACCTATCCTCTGTACATTAATCGCATCCCCAGGCCTCTACTATAATATACTTGCTCTTCATTTTGAATCCACCATAACGCAAAAAAAATCACTGTTACCCTATTTCTCAGATACATAATACAATATAACCAGGAATGATTGGCCATGGTTTAGGGCATTCCAATAATTGAAGCAGGCCTAGTAAAAACCCATAAAACAAACCAGGGGAAGGGATGGGGGGACCTTATCCTTCCTAATGATAATCATCAAAAAGCACTACTTTGAGGCTTATTTCAAGGTATTATTTTGGGCCTGAAACTGACCAAAATCATATCTTCCATTCTATCAATTGATACCAAGAAATACCAACAAAACCATAAAAGCTAATGTAAAAAAAATACTTGAAAGTGGCTATTTTAAACCAAACACAAGGTCAGGGTTTTGTTGTCCCCCATCATGTACTGTTTAGGAAAAGTTTTTTTTTATAATGCACATACTTTCCTAGACCCATTCTCTCATATCTAGGCCAAAATTTGCCACTCGTAGCATATTTGAGGGCACTGTACTTTAAACGTACTTCTATGTGAGCAACACTATCAGTAACATAGATCTATGTAAGAGACAGCGAAAGGGTTAAAAAACAGAATCCAAAATATAGTGTAGGCATTCCAGTCACTAAACCAACCTCTCCTCTGTTCATTATCATGTTTCCAGGTCTCTTATATAACACATGTCCTCCATTTTTTAATCCATCATCATAAACAAAATCAAAGTTTTACCCTGTTTCTCATATAACAAAATAAAAGACAGGAGGGCCTACCATTCCTCAGGAAAATCACCATAAATCAAATATTTCTGCCACCTTGAGGCCTATTTCAAGCTGCTGCTGGTGTAAATCCAAACAAAATCATCTTTCATTAGTAGTGTATGTCCTCCATTCTATAAAATAACCTGTTGTGTACTGTGTGAGACAGGTTTTTTTTTTCTGTGCACAAACTCATTCTTTTATGTCTAGGCCAAAATTTGCCACACGGCATTAGAGGGTACTGTGCTTGAAACGTAAATCTATGTGAGCAACAGTGGGGTCACTAACAGATCTACATGGGAGACAGTGAAAGGCTTTAACAGGCGCTGGACAGAAGTCTGGTGTAAGGCCGGATTGATAGGGTAGCAAATCCCTCAAAATTGGTCATAGACTTGAGGTCTTCCTACACTTTTGTTTGGCTTTCAGTTTGCATTCTGCTGTAAGTTTTGACATCCTTAATTTAACAGATGCATATTATTATAATCAAAACCAAGTGCTAAACCCACAAGGGTCATACAGCACTGGAGGGCAGGGTGTGCTTGCTAGATTCGAGACTAGCGAGGGTGGAGAGGATAAGAGAGGTAGTTAGAAAGGGCTAAGAGGAGTGCCAAAGGAAGTACTATTATCAAAGTTTGTGTTGCTGTCAGAAAGTCAAAGGGAACAGGAACATAGTATGTACTTAATTCTTGTATTATTAATATATACTATGAACAAGATAGTCCAAAACTAATCCTTGCGGAACTCCAATAGATACACCCTTCCATCCCGATAGTAATCATTCTTGGTTTTCTATTGGTCAAGCACATCCTAAACCATGCTAATAATTTTCCTACCAACCCAGTTTTTCTTTTCCAGTTTGCTTAATAGCATTATATGTGGCACCGTTTAAGTTTTATTTTACAGCCTAGGAATTTGCAGTCTATCCTTCTCTTATCTGACTTTTTTTTTTATGTAGGCAAGATTTCTGTGGCAAGACCTACTTTGACTCAATGCTGGTGTTATGTGATGAGTTTACCATAGTGGTTTGTAGATGTTCATTTATTTTTTTAAGTGTGCTGGTATATATATAATCTAGTAATTTGTACTTTACATTTGTTAGAGACAGGTGTGTAGGTCAGTTTTCCTGCCTGTCATTCCTTAAATACAGGTATTGGCATCACCTTTGCTACTTTTAGTGATACGAAAGTTTCCCCAATATTTATTTAAAAAATTAGAGTGACTTTCACAGCATTTTAGCTCTAATTCTTGGTGATATTCCAACAGGGTCCTGATGCTTGTGTCAAGTGTCATCAAGAGTCTTTTTACTTATTAATTAGTAGTTTTTCTTTATTTATTTAGTAATTTTTGGTGGTGTTCTTTCCAGTTTGTCCTCCCTTCTAACTATAGCTGGTTTTTGTTCATTTGTGACAACATTGAAATTTTCAACTTTGCTTCTCTTATCATTGTTATTACTTATTCCCTTGTCATTTTTTATTCTGTGACTTTGTAGTAGTTCTGATTGTAATATTAAGTGCTAAGGCCAAAAAGGGTTGTATAGTGCTGCCTCACCTGAAGATATTTTAATTTCCTGGGTGGACTGTCTTCTTAATTAACTGTATTTGAGAAAACTTCTCTTTCCTTCATAATCATCTTTCCTATACATCAGTTTCTTTTATTCCCATTTCATTTTATTTTCCCTAGGTAACAGACCAAAGAAAATGATCATGACAGATTATACATTAAATTTTCATTATTGGTCTTGATATAGAAAAGATCCAGCCTACCCTTCTTGTAATCACTTTGGTTATTAAAGCTTTAACCTTTTAAAATATGGCTCTTATTCTTGCTATCATATTACTCTTCCAAACAAAAAAAAAAAAAAAAAAAAAAGTTTTTGCCTCTCATATCTCCCACCCTTGTTTCATAATTTGTCTTCCAACCTTGAAGACAGTTCTTTCAGTCTCTAGTCATTTTGATAAACAGATTGGGGTTCAAATCTATGGCAAGGCAATGTGCTAACGCTAACTACTGTTCCATGCCAGCCTGATAAGATTCATTAAACTAGGTGCACTTTTATGCACTAGTTAGGTTATCATGGGGCTTCCTAGTACAGTAGAACTTCGGTTTTCGTTTGCTCTGCTTTTCATTGAATTCAGTTTTCGACAATTTTTTTTTTTTTTTTTTTTTTTTAAATTTTATCCCGGTTTTCGTTCATCACCTCAGTTTTCATCGAGTTGACAGTGGTCCAGCATACTGAACGTGTCCGCCTGCGCCCACACAAAGCATCTCATGCGTTCAGTTTGGCTTTGTTTCTCGTCGGTAGAGGGTGGTAGTCATGGTGGTAGAGATAACCTCTACTCCCTCTTCCCTTCTCGCTGTCTTCCATATGCCAACAAGAGTCTTCGATAAAGGTAAAAGCAAAGTTAAATGTTCATATATCCATTTCATTAGTCCTTTATATTTATTTCTCATTGGTTTCTGTAAAACTATAGTTATTCTCTATAAAAGGTATTTTTTGTTAATACTTTTGGGTGTCTGGAACGGATTAATTGGATTTCGTCAAATTCGGTTTTCATCAGACTTTCTAGAACAAATTAATGACAAAAACCAAGGTTCCACCAGATGTACAGAAATACACCTAGTTGGATGAACAAATCAGGTTGGTGTAGTACAGTGGGTAACTCGCTGGCCTGCTAGTTTTCTGACTAGCTTGTAAAAGTAGGATTTGAATCCATGACAAGTTTTCTCTACCAGTGTCTACTGTCGCTCTCTTAAGGTACTGTACAAATGACTCCCAGGTTTCTATGCTCTTTACAATCTCTACATAACCCTTAACACCTTTCTTTTGCTAGGTCATTTTCCATCATCAATTCCTATCTCAATATTTTCCTTTTGTTTTTCTTACTTAATCCTATTTTTCATTTGCCATTTTTCCTGGTATTTGTTCCCTTTCTGATTACTGTTGCCTAGTTGTAGCTACAGGAACATAGCTATGCTTGTGGTGTCCTGTCTTCTATTTAATTTGTCATATATAATTTTCTTGAAGTTGGCAGGGGTGGTAGCACTTACTACCTCCTCTTGGATTTCATTCCAGCAGTCCAAAACTCTGTGAATAATAGCTTCCTAGTATCCTTTCAGCACTTTTTTTCCAGTTTACATTTGTGCACATGCAGTGCATGTGCACTAAAGAGTAAAAAATAACTGTGCAACTCCTAAATGCAGTACACACAGAAAACAGACAACAAAAAAAACAGTAAATAAAACAAAAATGCTTAACCATGCCCAAAATATTAGAGGCATTGTTAAAATTACTGTTTACTACAGTTTAAGATAAACATTTCCATATTTTCTGGATTGTAAATATTATTATAGTGTAAAAGAAAAATACTCGGGTTTTGTAAATAAATTTGAGTAGATAATGAGTTACATGTTGAAAGTAATGCTGAATGAATGAAAAGTAAAATAATTTAGCCATATAACATTTTAAGAAATGTTCATTATCTATGTTACTTTTTGTATTACAATGCATTTATATGAAATTTTAAAAACTTTTTATGGCTTTGTTATTGCAGGTTTTTATGGTCTGTGATCTTGGTTCGGTTTTTCCCAAACCCAGGAAAAAGATGCATCTCAGCATTTGTGAAAGCTGATTCTAAGTCATGTGTGTTCAGCATGAACAGGTCTTTCAGGAAAGTTCACATGTGGAACTAGCCAAAATCACAGTTGATACAATTATCTGATTATATTCAGTTAAATTTTTTCATTTGTCAAAAAAAAAAATGTCTGAATATTATTTTTGTAAGCATTGGCTCTAATGAGATTTATTGAAAAGCAATGTGATGTACTTTAAGGTTATTAACCCTTTCAGGGTCCAAGGCCCAAATCTGGAGTCACGCACCAGTGTCCAAGAATTTTCAAAAAAAAAATTTGTTATTTTTTCTTATGAAATCGTAGAGGATCTTTTTGTGAAGGTAATAAAACAAAAAGTACGAAATTTGGTGGAAAATTGACGAAATTATGCTCTCGCGAATTTTGATGTGTCAGCGATATTTACGAATCAGCGATTTTGCCGACTTTGACTCCCATTTTAGGCCAATTACCTTATTCCAATCAACCAAATTCTTAGCTATTTCACTAGTATTACTTCTATTCTATCGATTGAGCACAAGAAATCGCCAAGTCAACTGTTTCAACTACAAAATAAAGTGATCGGAAATTGTTAATTTGGCCAATTTAACACAAAGTTCAAAATATTCCAATTTCAAAATAGGGTCCAGAATAAACAATGTAGGCATTCCTGGCACTAAACTAACATTTCCTCTGTTCATTACTTATGTTTTGAGGCTTTACAAATAAATTCCATTTTGATTTTTTATTCACATAATGAATTTTTATTCACACCAAAAAATAGAAGATTTACTGTTATTCAATACTGTAAGAATTGTATAAATATCATCACCATATTTGTGAATGTATATTAGACCCACCAGCTGATGTGTATTAGATGTGTGAGGTCGTTTGTTTACTCTTGAATATCGGCAAAAATTTAACATTTCCGCTACTTTGAGCTCAGTTTCAAGCCATTCCAGTGCTAAAACCAATCAAAATCATCTCTATTTCTGTAATATGTCTTCCATTCTATCAAATGAGACCAAGAAATCGCAAATACAACTATAAAAAACATACGAAAAAACACTGCAAAGTTGCTGTTTCAATCGAAAAATCATGATTTCATTTTTTTTCTCTCATTATACACAGTGTGCTGCAGGATCTGTTTTATGTGGTGCACACATACCACATATATGTATTCTCTCATATCTAGGCCCAAATGTACCACTCACAGTTTATCAGAGTGAGCTGAGCTCATGGCGTAGATCTACGGTTTGGACACTCACCATAAAGCCGTAGATCTACGGGACGGACCCTGAAAGGGTTAAGAATAAGAAGGCTGTGGGTATGACAATGTTATGTAAAATCATTCATACATATAGAATTAGTATCTAAATTTTGCATTAATTTTTACACTAGCATAGAACTTACATGTGATAATATACTAAGAAAATAAATTTTCAAGTTAGATTGTTTTGCAGTTATATAATTTAAATATTTTCCTCTTTTTCTGAATATAAATTTAGTTTTATTCAAAGATTTTAGTGTAAAATTTACTGGTACTGTACACATTACCACCATAAGACATGTTGAACCTAGCAATAGCAACAGGGCTTTTCTTTCTGATCATTATAATGAAGTTGTGATTTTGCCAGAGGAAGTCCTTTGGCAGGTATGAGATGATGTATTTGATTGTCAGTTTGTATTGCTCAACCATTTGACCACCTTTGTAATGAGGGCATGACAAGTAAATTAGAATAGCAATGAATTTGTCTCACTTCTGTTGCTTTAATGAATGAAATAATTTAACAAAAAGACCCCTTGTACTGTATTCCTAAAAATCTATTAAAAAACAATGAATCGGTATTACTCTCAGTGTTGAGTAAGAAGTTAAATACATGTATATTTTATATTGTAAAAGCCAGTAAACTGTTAAACATGGGGCTAACTACAGTAACTGACAGCTGTATTTTCATCCCAAAATTTCATGGAATACTATGATAGCTGTCTGTATATACTGGATGTACATGCTTTTAAGGTATATAAGAGAAAATTTAGCCCTTGACTAATACCTTGACACTAGCCTGCACCCCAAATTCCTAGATCAAGTGAAAAGTGACAAGTTAAATTTTGAGTGAATAGTTAGTTAGATGGTAAACAAATATTAAAAACCACTAGCTAGAGTGCATCAGCCTAAGCATCTCTTCATCATAGAAATAAAAACAGAAAATAGTTTTTGTTATTACTGTACACAGTTCTCTGGAATGTAAGATAAAGAATGCAGGTGATGGATGTCTAAGAATGTCAGCCAATATATGCCAGATAATACAAAGAGGATTGACACAATAAATGGGTTTGCAAGGAATACAATAGGAAAGGCAGTAAAATGATATTTAAGAAGAATGATAGTAATGTGGAAATTTATTAGGTAAAAGGATACAATTGCAACTAAAGCAGTTTTACTGCAGATGCATTTCACTCTCCAGCAGTTTTGGCTTGAAACAGGTCCTGGAGAGTGAAATGTAGCCACAGAAAAAAGTAAATGCAATGCTGGCTATGTTTCACAAACAGCATTTCCAATACAAAAATTATCTTTAAAGAACAGAGGCACAATACTGTGGCTGGAACAATACATAACCCACACACACAAGAGAGGAGCTTATGATTTTCGGTCCAACTTGGACCATTTAGTCTCACTAAACTACTCCCCGTACTTTCTACTACTGCTACTTCCACAACCACTACTTTCTCTTGTTCCCATCCCTTTTCCTGCTCACCTATATATACTGGCTTTCTCACTCTTTGTCTGTTAATGTGGCTTTGTAAATGGTCCAAATCAGACTGAATCATCATAAGCTCCTCTCCTGTATGTGGGTTATTTGTGTATATCTTTAAACTACACATTTAATACAAAGGAAAAGATATAGGGTATGTAAATATTTAAAAGAAAAAGCAATATAAATGGTAGAACAGTAGTTGAAAAAGAGAGGTGAGAAACTAAAAATCTTTAGATTTTTAGAGAAAACTCTGGCAAAGTTACAGGTTTAGCGCTTTATTATAATATTTGGCAAAGTTAGTTACAGAAAAAAGCTACGTGGTGAATTCAAGGTTTCTATTAAGCAGGAGAAAGTAATACGAAGATGTGGGTTTACATGCACTGATACACTACAAAATTGAGAAGAGTACATAGAAGTGAAGAACATGATCACATGACTATGGAGAAAACTGATGGATGAGAGCTTTTAAAATAAGCATAAATTGCAATTTTAGGGAATAAAAGGCTGTTTCAAAAGGCAACTTAATATTTTCTACCACTAGTGGTACACTAAATTACAATACACAATGTAGGATACCTCAGTTAGTGGTACACTGCTGAATGTTTCCCAAAGTACACAATATAAGACAGATCAAAGATAGAATACCCTGAATGTTCATCCAAGACTGGGGGTGTGCCAAAGTACTGATATTTGCTAATTTTTAAGGTATCAGCATTAGCCTAAAATTAAGTTTAGATACTGGTATCAGTAGGTACTGGCTAACTGAGGGTATCAGTAACTACAAAATTTTGGTATCCCATCCCTGAAGATAGCACACAAAATAAGACAGCATAAGCTAATGATGCTGTCAAATGTTCCAAGATATTACACTCTTGAATGTTCCACAAGATAGACAATATAACTTTTCACAGCTAGTGGCAGGCCTATATATACCTTTGAAGAGTTTCGAGAGTTTCACTACTCTTGGCTGTATAGTCCTTGTGGCTTAGCGCTTCTTTTTTTATTATAATAATAATAATTCACTACTCTTGGACCCCAGCCACGTATGTTTCTAAAGACAGTACAAACTAACACTTCAGGAAATGCTTTCATTTATTCTTGCTAATGGCTGCAGCTAACACATTCATCGCAACCTACATATGTCCCTTGTCTATTGAGTTGACTACCTCAGCTGCATTACAACAGGACCTAGTTCAAGTAAACAGCCATAAAGTGTGAGACCCAGCAGTTTAAACAATGGCCCAGGGAGATATTTTATAACCATTAAAAATGGCACTACCTGAATTCTAAAAACTGATAAAATACAAACTTCATAGTGTACTGAAAAATCATACATAATAAAATGCACCTCTATATAGGCAGCAACAGTATAAATGTTGAAGGTATTTTATATTACTGACCATGAATTAACTGTACATTTTATAATTAAAACTGAAGTGCATTAATGACTTACTAAAAAATATTTCTATTAGCAGGAACTTTACAAAGAAGTTTTCTTATTTCATCTTCACTTATGTCTCCTCTCTCCCTAAGTTTCAAAATAATTTCTAGTAATAGCTTTTCAGGACTTGATAGGCCTGAGTTGAGTCCCATCACATCTGGGGCAGACATATATGTTGGGTTCAGATTGTCAAAATATAAATTCAGAACTGTAATTAATTCATTACTAGACTGAGGAAGACAATATGCCCTCCCATACTCAATTATTTCCTTTTCTGTTGAATCCATGTGTTCTGACTTATCTGCTGGTACTGTCAGAGTTCCAGACTTAGATGCCACAGTAGTCTCGCCTTCCTTAGCAAATTCGGAAGGGATAGATTCTTTATCTATAGTTTCTAATTCTTCACTATGTCTTAATGTCTCACCTTCAGGAATTTCATTTTTTATGTCAGAGGAGTGGCTGTGCAGTTTTGACCAAAATTCATCAGTATGAATGTGTAAATGTAAAATTGATATTTCTGCAGCATAGTATAGATGGCGTAAATGGTTAACAGTTGATGAGGCATCTTTATCCACTTCATTTACTACTGTCGTTCCTAGTGTCATCAAACAGTTTACTCCTGGGAGGAGAAAATATGCTTTAAAATCTGGCAATTTTGTCTTTCAAAATTTACATAAGGTTAAGCTATGTAAAGAACATCTTAAAGCTTTTAAAATGTTAGCAGCCTTCTTTGAAACAGAGGCCTCTATAATTATTAAAAATGTCTAGAATATGTTAAACTTACCTTTTGGAAGCAATGCATGTGTGAGGTGAAAGATGTGGTCAGCTTTGCCCCATGACACAACATATCCCAATGCTGTAGTCAGATGTTGGTCCCACGACTCCAGGCAGGAACTCATGAGATATTCACTCAGCGCCACTGACACTAGGAACCAAAGCTGAGGAAATATACAATTATATTATTGTACACCATAAAGAATACTAGTGGTCCCTGGAGTTACAATAATTTGGAGTAACAACTTGAGCTGAATTTACCCTCAGAGGAATTTTGTTTGGAGCTGCAATTATAACTTAGAGATATGCCTCAGATGGTACGACTGTTGTGGGTCGCAAAATACTCTGTTAAACCAGGGACTTTCTATATACACTAGTATGCCAATAATGTCAGCTAAGTCTGTAATAGTTTTCTCACGTACTTGTAGTATAAAGATTATTATTATGCCTGGCAACACAGCTGGGTGCATACACTCACACTGCCCTTGTCAGAGCTCATAGGTTCAAACCTAAAGCATTAAGCACATTATTATTATTACTGTTATTTTTTAAACACACTGGCCATCTCTCCCACCAAGGTAGTGTGGCAATAAATAAAAAAAAAAAAAATCACCATTATTAACTTATCTCTTTCTTGCCAGAGGGGCAGATACTACAGTTCAAATGCTCTTCAAACTGCAAATATCCCCACCCCTCATCCAGAATGCTAGCACTGTACTTCCTACCTCCAGGACTCAAGTCTGGCTAACTGATTTCCCTGATGCCCTTCACAAATGTTACCTTTCTCACACTCCAACAGCACTTCAGGTTATAAAAACACCACTTGCCTCTAATTATTCCAATCTAACATGCTCACACATGCCTATACACAAATAACCCCCACACACAGAAGAATGAAATACAGTGGAACCTCTACTTGCAAATTTAATCCGTGCCATGACCTTGCTCGCAACTGGATTTGCTCGTTTGCAGAGTCAATTTTCCTCATTTAAATTAATTGAAATGCAATTAATCCATTCCAGTGGAATTCTGTACTTCAGTAATTTCGCTAATATCAACTCTACGGCTTATTTATCTATCTCACTTCATCTAATATGACATAATAAACAATATAAGTAACATAGAAACCTGATATATACTCTAAAATGAATAAAATATGTCATTCATGTAGTGGTATGGGCGGTGTCGGCGGTGGACGAGAGTTTGTCTGGAGACCGGGCAAAATACTTCTTGAATAATTTCACTAATATCATCTATACTGCTTATTTATCTATCACAGTTCATCTAGTATTACAACAAACAATATGAATAACAGAGAAACATGATATATACTCTAGAATGAATAAAATATGTCATTCATGTAGTGGTATGGGCGGTGTCGGCGGTGGACGAGAGTTTGTCTGGACACCGGGCAAAATTCTTCATGAATAATTTCACTAATATCATCTATACGGCTTATTTATATATCACAGTTCATCTAATATGACATAACAGACAATATAAATAACATAAAAACACGATATATACTCTAGAATGAATAAAATACGCCATTATGTAACAGGTGGAGGCGGCCACAACCGCTCCCTCTTTGTTGTGGTAAACACTGCCATCTAGTGACGGCCTTTTGAAGCTGTCCATTATATAATTATTATATGTAGTACATTATTATTATATATGTATTATTATTATAATACATATAATTATTATTATTATTGTATTATACTATTATTATTATTATACATATTATTATTATCGTTATTATTATTATTATTATATAAATTATTTGTAATTTTTATTCACACAGAAAATATAAGATTTACTGTTATTCCTTATTGCAATAATTGTATAAATATGTCAACCCATTCACGACTGCATATTAGAATGGACAGTGACGTCATTTGTTTACACTGAAACAGCCAAGCAATGGACCATTTCTCCTAGGTTGAGCTCAATTTCAAGGCACTTTTCATCATGAAACCAATCAAAATCATATCTATTTCTGTAATATATCTTCCATTCTATCAAATGAGACCAAAAAATGAGAATACAACCATAAAAACCATACGAAAATACCACTAAGGGGTGGCTAATTGCTGAGAAGTGAGCTCCATTATTTATGCTTAGATTTCTTTCATTATTATTATTATTATCATCATCATTATTATTATATAATATAAATAATTTGTAATTTTTATTCACACAAAAAATATAAGATTTACTGTGACGTCATTTGTTTACACTGAAACAACCAAGCAATGGACCATTTCTCCTAGGCTGAGCACTATTTCAAAGTACTTTTCGTCGTGAAAGCAATCAAAATCATATCTATTTCTGTAATTTATCTTCCATTCTATCAAATGAGACCAAAAAAACGAGAATACAACCATAAAAACCATTCGAAATTACCACTAAGGGGTGGCTAATTGCTGAGAAGTGAACTCCATTATTTATGCTTAGATTTCTTTCATTTTTGGTGTACATTAAGAAGCATCTTTCCATCATACATTGCCCAAGTTTCAATAAGATAGTCCAACAAGCAAATGAGATACAATTTCCGAGATCAAGAGCAAGAGCCCCTCACCAGTGTCAAGGAACCTGCCTTGAGGTCTGCTCGCTTGTGGAAATTTTGCTCACGTATGGAAGCAAAAAATCGACCCATCAACTGCCCGTATTTGGAAAAACTCGCACGTGGACACGCTCGCAAGTAGAGGTTCCACTGTTTATGATGCCTGGTGGATGCCCAAGCTCCTCACTTAAAAAATCTTTACCCCCTCCCTCTAACCTTTCCTAGGATAACCCCCTACCCTGCCTTTCCTCTGCTACAGATTTATACACCCACCAAGTCATCCTATTTTGCTACATCCTCTCTAATTGTCCAAACCACCTCAGCAACTCCTCCTCAGCCCTCTGGATAATACTTTTGATAACCCTAAATCTCATCTCATAACTACAATGATAAGAAAGAGGTGATTGTGGATGTTATGAATGAGAAGAAGCTGGATATCCTGGCTTTAAGTGAAACAAAGCTGAAGAGAGTGGGAGGGTAGCAGTGGGGAGAAACAAATGGGATTATGTCAGGGGTTTCAAATAGCATTAGAGCTAAAGAAGGAGTAGCAATAATGTTGAAGGATAAGTTGTGTATAAATTCAAGGATTATGTAGTGTAAAATCCCCTCAAGGGAGGTTCCTCAACGCTGGTGAGGGGCTCTTGATCTAGGGAATTGGATCTGTGCTTCAGTTCCCTAAATTAAGCCTGAATACCTTCCACATCTCCCCCCCACAGACGCTGTATAATCCTATGGGTTTATTGCTCCCTCATGATTATAATAATTATATAATGTGTAAAACACGCGTTGGATGTGAAAGTGGGTTATAGTAAGCATTTATGCACCTGGAGAAGAGAGAAGTGTAGAGGAGAGAGAGAGATTTTGGGAAATATTGAGCGAGTGCGTGGGGAGTCTCGAACCAATTGAGAGAGTACTAGTGGTTGGGGATATCAATGCTAAAGTGGAGGGAGTAGTAGGTAAATTTGGGGTGCCAGGGATAAATGAACATGGGGAGCCTTTAATTGAGCTATGTGTAGAAAGAGGCTTGGTAATAAGTAATGCATATTTTATGAAAAAGAGGATAAATAAGTATACAAGATATGATATAGCACATAATGAGAGTAGTTTGTTAGATTAAGTATTGGTGGATAAAAGGTTGATGGGAAGGCTTCAGGATGTACATGTTTATAGAGGAGCAACTGGTATATCGGATCATTATTTAGTTGTAGCTACAGTTACAGTAAGAGGTAGATGGGACAAAAAGAAAATGGCAACAGCAAGTAAGAGAGAGTGAAGGTATATAAACTAAGGGAGGAGGAAGCTAGGGTGAGATATAAACAACTATTGGCAGAAAGGTGGGATAGTTCAAGTACTAGTAGCAGGGGGGTTGAAGAGGGTTGGAATAGTTTTAAAAATGCAGTATTAGAACGTGGGGCAGAAGTTTGTGGCTATAAGAGGAAAGATAAGTGATTGGTGGAATGATGAAGTAAAAGGTGTGATAAAAGAGAAAAAGGTAGCTTATGAAAGGTTTTTACAGAGAAGAAGTGTAAAAATAAAGGTGAAAAGAATGATGAGAGAGTGCAAAAGGAGAGCAAATGATAGAATGGGAGAGGCACTGTCAACAAATTTTGCAGAAAATAAGAAAAAATTTTGAAGTGAGATAAACAAGTTAAGAAAGCATAGGGAAAGAATGGATTTGTCAATTAAAAACAGAGTAGGGGAGTTAGTTGATGGTGAGCTGGAGGTATTGGGTAGATGGCGGAAATATTTTGAGGAACTTACGTCGATGAAGAAAGGGACACGGTAATTTCATGCACTGGCCAGGGAGGTATAACATCTTTTAGGAGTGAAGAAGAGCAGGATGTGAGTGTGGGGGAGGTGCGCAAGGCATTACGTAGAATGAAAGGGGGTAAAGCAGCTGGAACTGACGGGATCATGACAGAAATGTTAAAAGCAGGGGAGAGATATAGTGTTGGAGTGGTTGGTATTTTTGTTTGGTCATTTAGAGAGAATGGATCAAAGTAGATTGACATGGAGAGTGTATAAATCTGTAGGGGAAGGGAGGCAGGGTAGTGGTCATCCTCGAAAAGGTTGGAAGGAAGGGGATAAAGGAGGTTTTGTGGGCGAGGGGCTTGGACTTCCAGCAAGCGTGCGTGAGCGTGTTCGATAGGAGTGAATGGAGACGAATGGTATTTGGGGCCTGACGAGCTGTTGGAGTGTGAGCAGGGTAATATTTAGTGAAGGGATTCAGGGAAACCGATTATTTTTATATAGCCGGACTTGAGTCCTGGAAATGGGAAGTACAATGCCTGCACTCTAAAGGAGGGGTTCAGGATATTGGCGGTTTGGAGGGATATGTTGTGTATCTTTATACGTATATGCTTCTAACAGTGATAATGTGTGAGTATGGTGAAAGTGTTGAATGATGATGAAAGTATTTTCTTTTTGGGGATTTTCTTTCTTGTTTGGGTCACCCTGCCTCGGTGGGAGACGGCCGACTCGTTGAAAAAAAAAAAAATTAAGTTTTAACAAAATTACTAGACATTGCTTTAAAAAACAGTACCTGCTTAACTGAAGTGGGTATCTGTTGAGTAGAAAAGTTCAGGGTAATTGTTTCATAGAGCTGGGGATACTGTTCTCGAGTAATGCCTTGCGCTAGCCACTCTTCTTCGATTCGTTCTAATAAAGGAACCCATTCTTCAGATGTACAATTCTGTGTGTTTCTTGGGGTTATTACATCACCATTTACATTTGCATTAATGTTACTCTTGCCTTCAATATCAGCAGTTTCATTCACTATCTTGCTTTCATTTGGAGTCTCTTGATAAACTTGATTCTTCTGTTTCCTTCTACTTTTTGTAAGATAATTTACCTGCCCTTCCTTATCCATGGTGACCTGCTGCAGTAAGTCTAGTATAACATTATGGCAGCAAAAGATTGTCCGGAACCACTGTGGAAAATTATGATTTTAGAGAATGTATTGAAACAACTCTGTTATGAAATGGAAGTTTTACATCTCCAAGCAAATATTTTCTTACATTACCATACAATAGACAATTCCCTCTTCTCCACATTAATTAGCATACCGCCTCTCCTCACTTAACGATGGAGTTCCATTCCTAATTCGTTGCTAAGTGAGGAGCATACTATAATGGTAGTGGGTTTGTGTCAACCATCTTTGATGTTCTTTTAATGTCACCTTTGCACCATTTATAACATGTCTGGTATATTTTTCAATGTTTATACAGTAGTGTACTGTATATGGAAATAAATAGAAGAGAGGAAATTAGCTCTAATATAAGATATTTAGGTATAAACACTGGTCAGAGCCCATAATAAGTCCGAGGCGTCAGTAAACGAGTACGTCGCTAAGTGAGGAGAGGCTGTATATACAAAAAATATACTGCCTCTCATAATATATAAAATACCTGGGGAAAGTCTCTCTCCCTGAGAATACCTGTCCATCCACCAAAAAAACAAATGAAAATCAAAAACTGGGAAAAAGATACTCGTAAAATTAAGCAAAAATGATTATAATACGACCTCAATGTATAAACTTGATATTAACACAGTCATTCTTTTCACAATCTAACGGAATTTTTCTTAAATGGAAAGCTAAAGATAAGTATTTCAAAGTGTTTTTCTTCTATTGTAAGGCAAAATGAAACATAACAAATTCATACCTCTGCTAAATGTCATGCAACATTGTACAGAAATTTTTCCTTAAAATGTAAAAAAAGTAAATAGTCTCAGATTAATTGTATACTTACATTAAGGTTGGGCAAATGATTTATGAACGAGTCAATTTTCAGATGCTCATGTTTCAAAGCTGCTTCTCTGAGGGCTAACAATCCAACAGAATTGGTCAACTCAACATTTCCTGCATGTTCGTACAACTTGGCAGAGATAAACAATGCCCCAGGATCACTCCTCCTAGACATGCAGTGTGCAGCATCTTCCACATGGCCAAGACTCAAATGTCTAAAAAAACAAAATATTAAATATTTTTGTTATACATCTAAAAATTATGCTGACATACAAGAAAATAAATTTCCATACTGCCATAACTTTGATTCTGGCATGTGTTTGACCTGCTTTATGTCTTCCTCTGTGATTAGCATAGCTATGGAGAAAGGACACTAATTCACTTTCCCCAGGGTAATTTTTTTTTTTCAACATGTCGGCCGTTTCCCACCGAGGCAGGGTGACCCGCAAAGAAAGAAAGAAAAAACTTGCATCATTCAACACTTTCACCATCACTTACACATAATCACTGTCTTTGCAAAGGTGCTCAGTTATGAGAGTTTAGATGTCATTCCAAACTGCCAATATCCTAAACCCCTCCTTTAAAGTGCAGGCATTGTACTTCCCATTTCCAGGACTCAAGTCTGGCTAACCGGTTTCCCTGAATCCCATTACAAAATATTACCCTACTCACACTCCAACAGATCATCAGGTCCCAAAAACCATTCGTCTCCACTTACTCCTATCTAACATGCTCACACACACTTCCTGGAAGACCGAGTCCCTCGCCCACAAAACCTTCTTTACCCCTTCCCTCCAACCTTTTCGAGGACAACCCCTACCCTGTCTTCCTTGCCTTAAGTCATTCTACTTTGTTCCATTCTCTCTAAATGACTAAACCACCTCAACAACCCCTCCTCAGCTGTCTAATACATTTTGTAACTCCACATCTCCTCCTGAATTCCACACTCTGAATTCTCTGCATAATATTTACACTATACATTGCCTTTAGACACATCTCCACTACCTCTAGCCGCCTCCTCGCTGCACCATTTACAACCCATGCTTCACACCCATACAAGAGTTTTGGCACCACTATATGCTAGTACATTACCTTCTTTGCCTCCGTGGATAATGTTTGTTGTCTCTACAGATACCTCAACGCACCACTCGCCTTTTTTTCTTCATCAATTCTATGGTTAACCTCATCCTTCATAAACCCATCCACTGACAAGTCAACTCCCAAATATCTGAAAACATTCACTTCTTCCATACTCTCTCTCTCCAATGTGATATCCAATTTTTCTTTATCTAAATTGTTTGATACCCTCATCACCTTACTCTTATCTGTTCATACATTTATTAAACAAAAATATCTGCCATTCCAACATTACATCCTCCCCTGCTTTTAACATTTCTGTCATGATCCCAGTTCCAGCTGCTTTACACCCTTCCATTATATGTAACGCATCACACACCTCCCCCACACTCGCATCCTGCTCTTCTTAAAAGTAAATACGTACGTAAGTACATTAAATAATTTTCTTTTTTTTAACAAGTCGGCCGTCTCCCACTGAGGCAGGGTGACCCAAAAAGAAAGAAAATCCCCAAAAAGAAAATACCATTAAATAATATGACTCCCTAATTTTTTACCACTAGCACATTTCACTGTATACAGTATGTCATTCACACCCCCTTATTTTTTAGGTGGTAATGTGATCTAGGAAAGTTAACAAATTAATGAAATATTAGAACTACAGTTGCAACAACTCACAGGGTTGAAGCAAGGTCAAAGTTTCCTTCATAGATAGCAGAAGCAGCCCATGTGGTCACAACTGTCTCCACCATTTCTTCATCGTATCCCAGACGACATTTTGTTATGGCTAATGCTTCTCGATAAAGCCTGTACTTCAACAGTAATTTAACAGCTTCTTTGACCTTAAATAAAATAACAGTTTGAGCATATTTAACAATATCAGAGCAAACAATTTAAAGGCTGCACTACTCATACAGGTTGCAAGCTATCATAGCTATTATACCACAGTTCATCAGCATCCTTTAAAAAGCTTCAGGTTCCCTATAAGCTATCAATCTGTTGCTATTGTGACAAACTACAGTCATGATTTTTTTTTAAAACACCGGCTGTCCCACCAAGGCAGGGTGACCCCCAAAAAAAAAAAAGTTTTTTTTTTTTTCTTTTTTTCCATTTAGTAATTAACCCTTTGACTGTCGCGGCCGTATATATACGTCTTACGAGGTACCGTGTTTGACGTATATATACTCAAATTCTAGCGGCTTCAAATCAAGCAGGAGAAAGCTGGTAGGCCCACATGTGAGAGAATGGGTCTGTGTGGTCAGTGTGCACCATATAAAAAAAATCCTGGAGCACGCAGTGCATAATGAGAAAAAAAAAGACCGTTTTTTTTAATTAAAATGCCGACTTTGTGGTCTATTTTCGTATAGTATTTATGGTTGTATTCTCGTTTTCTTGGTCTCATTTGATAGAATGGAAAACATATTATAGAAATAGTGGTATTTTGATTGATTTTACTATAAAAAGAACCTAGAAATGGAGCTCAAAGTTGGGGAAATGTTTGATTTTTGCCAATGTTCAAAAGTAAACAAATGATGCCAATGTCCAATAAATGTCCAACTAGCCATTCTAATATGCAGTCATGAATGGGTTGATGTTATTTATACAATTATTACAGTATTGCAGTAGTCTGCATAATAGTAAGTCTTCTATTTTTTGTTTGAATAAAAATTCAAAATAGAAAGCAAAAGTAATATCAGAGGGGCCTGGAGACATGACTGATGAGCAAAGAAAATGTTATTTTAGAGCCAGGAATGTCTGCATTGTTCATTCTGGACCTTATTTTGAAATTGTCATATTTTTTAGTTTTCGTGAAATTGGCCAAATTGCAAATTTCTGACCACATTATTAGGTAGTTGAAATCGGTAAATGGGCAGTTTCGTGTACTCAATCAATAGAAAAAATCGAGTTCTAAAGAAATAGTTATGAGTTTGGGCGACTGGATTAATGGAATTAGCTGAAAATAGGGCTCAAAGTGGGCGAAATCGCCGATTTGTAAACAGCACTGAGGTCGCTAACTTCGCAAGAGCATAATTCCGTCAGTTTTCCATCAAATTTCGTTTTTTTGGTGTCATTACAATCGGGAAAAGATTCTCTATCATTTCATAAGAAAAAATTTTTTTTTTTTTTTAAATTTTGCGACACCAGGAGACACCTCAGGATTGGAGGTTGCGACAGTCAAAGGGTTAATAGAGAAAGGGTTACTAGCCCCTTGCTCTCAGTATTTTAGTTACTTCTCATGACATACAGATTACAGAGTAAGAATTCTTCCTCTTAATGGAGATGATGTATATATATTGATATATAAATAAATGTTTAACAAATAAATAATTAATAAATGTATGAAAGAGGGGAAGGTACCCCAATGGAAATAAGTCACTCTGACTTTTTTGGGTTATCACATGCTGCTATGTATGATAATTCTATGTAACTATTTGTGTATACCTGAATAAACTTACTTACTTACTTACCTAGAGATTGGCAGAGAGCATGTATAGTCCCTTTATATAAAGGGAAGGGGGACAAAAGAGATTGTAAAAATTATAAAGGAATAAGTTTACTGAGTATACCAGGAAAAGTGTACAGTAGGGTTATAACTGAAAGAATTAGAGGTAAGACAGAATGTAGGATTGCAGATGAGCAAGGAGGTTTCAGAGTGGGTAGGGGATGTGTAGATCAAGTGTTTACATTGAACCATATATATATATATTTTTTTTAACAAGTTGGCCGTCTCCCACCGAGGCAGGGTGACCCAAAAAAGAAAGAAAATCCCTAAAAAGAAAATACTTTCATCATCATTCAACACTTTCACCTCACTCACACATAATCACTGTTTTTGCAGAGGTGCTCAGAACACAACAGTTTAGAAGCATATACCTATAAAGATACACAACATATCCCTCCAAACTGTCAATATCCCAAACCCTCCTTTAGAGTGCAGGCATTGTACTTCCCATTTCCAGGACTCAAGTCCGACTATATGAAAATAACCGGTTTCCCTGAATCCCTTCACTAAATATTACCCTGCTCACACTCCAACAGATCATCAGGTCCCAAATACCATTCGTCTCCATTCACTCCTATCTAACATGCTCACGCACACTTGCTGGAAGTCCAAGCCCCTCGCCCACAAAACCTAATTTACCCCCTCCCTCCAACTTTTTCGAGGACGACCCCTACCCCGCCTTCCTTCCCCTACAGATTTATACGCTCTCCATGTCATTCTACTTTGATCCATTCTCTCTAAATGACCAAACCACCTCAACAACCCCTCTTCAGCCCTCTGACTAATACTTTTATTAACTCCACGCCTTCTCCAAATTTCCACACTCCGAATTTTCTGCATAATATTTACACCACACATTGCCCTTAGACTGGACATCTCCACTGCCTCTAACTGCCCCCTTGCTGCTGCATTCACAACCCAGGCTTCACACCCATATTAAAGTGTTGGTACTACTATACTTTCATACATTCCCTTCTTTGCCTCCATAGATAAAGATTTTTGTCTCCACATATACCTCAATGCACCACTCACCTTTTTTCCCTCATCAATTCTATGATTAACCTCATCCTTCATAAATCCATCCGCCAACACGTCAACTCCCAAGTATCTGAAAACATTCACTTCTTCCATACTCCTCCCCAATTTGATATCCAATTTCTCTGTATCTAAATCTTTATCACCCCTCAGGGAAGGTTCCTTGATGCTGGTGAGGGGCTCTTGATTTAGGGAATTGGATCTGTGCTCCAGTTCCCCGAATTAAGCCTGAATGCCTTCCAAATCCCCCCCCAGGCACTGTATAATCCTACGGGTTTAACGCTTCCCCCTTGATAATAATAATAATAAATCTTTATCTAAATACTGTTCACATATATGCTTTGTCAAATGAAGCATATATGTGAACAGTATTTAGATAAAGGTAAGGAAGTTTTTATTGCATTTATGGATTTAGAAAAGGCATATGATAGAGTGGATAGAGGAGCAATGTGGCAGATGTTGCAAGTATATGGAATAGGTGGTAAGTTACTAAATGCTGTAAAGAGTTTTTATGAGGATAGTGAGGCTCAGGTTAGGGCGTGTAGAAGAGAGGGAGAATACTTCCCAGTAAAAGTAGGTCTTAGACAGGGATGTGTAATGTCACAATGGTTGTTTAATATATTTATAGATGGGGTTGTAAAAGAAGTAAATGCTAGGGTGTTCAGGAAAGGGGTGGGATTAAATTATGGGGAATCAAATACAAAATGGGAATTGACACAGTTGCTTTTTGCTGATGATACTGTGCTCATGGGAGATTCTAAAGAAAAATTGCAAAGGTTAGTGGATGAGTTTGGGAGTGTGTGTAAAGGTAGGAAGTTGAAAGTGAACATAGATAAGAGTAAGGTGATGAGGGTATCAAATGATTTAGATAAAGAAAAACTGGATATCAAATTGGGTAGGAGTATGGAAGAAGTGAATGTTTTCAGATACAGTGGAACCTCCACTTGCGAGTTTAATCCATTCCATGACCTTGCTCGCAACTGGATTTGCTCGTTTGCAGAGTCAATTTTCCTCATTTAAATTAACTGAAATGCAATTAATCCGTTCCAGTGGAATTCTGTACTCCAATAATTTCACTAATATCAACTCTAAGGCTTATTTATCTATCTCACTTCATCTAATATGACATAATAAACAATATAAACAATAACATAGAAACCTGATATATACTCTAAAATGAATAAAATATTTCATTCATGTAGTGGTATGGGCAGTGTCGGCGGTGGACGAGAGTTTGTCTGCAGACCGGGCAAAATACTTCATGAATAATTTCGCTAATATCTATACGGCTTATTTATCTATCACAGTTCATCTAATATGACATAACAAACAATATAAATAACATAGAAACATGATATATATTCTAGAATGAATAAAATATGTCATTCGCGAAGTGGTATGGCCGGTGTCGGCGGTGGACGAGTTTATCTGGAGACTGGGCAAAATACTTCATGAATAATTTCGCTAATATCATCTATACGGCTTATTTATCTATCACAGTTCATCTAATATAACATAGCAAACAACATAAATAACATAGAAACATGATTAAAATCATATCTATTTCTGTAATATATCTCCATTTTATCAAATGAGACCAAAAAAGCGAGAATACAACCATAAAAACCATTCGAAATTACCGCAAAGGGGGTGGCTAATTGCTGAGAAGTGAACTTCATTATTATGCTTAGATTTCTTTCATTTTTGGTGTACGTTAAGAAGCATCTTTCCATAATACATTGCCCAAGTTTCAATAAGATAGTCCAACAAACAAATGAGATACAATTCCCGAGATCAAGAGCAAGAGTCCCTCACCAGTGTCAAGGAACCTGCCTTGAGGTCTGCTCACTTGTGGAAATTTTGCTCGCAAATGGAAGCAAAAAGTCGACCCATCGACTGCTCGTATTTGGCAAAACTCGCACGTGGACACACTCGCAAGTAGAAGTTCCACTGTACTTGGGAGTCGACGTGCTGGCGGATGGATTTATGAAGGATGAGGTTAATCATAGCATTGAGGAGGGAAAAAAAGGTGAGTGGTGCATTGAGGTATATGTGGAGACAAAAAATGTTATCTATGGAGGCAAAGAACGGAATGTATGAAAGTATAGTAGTACCAACACTCTTATATGGGTGTGAAGCTTGGGTTGTGAATGCAGCAGCGAGGAGGCGGTTGGAGGCAGTGGAGATGTCCTGTCTAAGGGCAATGCGTGGTGTAAATATTATGCAGAAAATTCAGAGTGTGGAAATTAGGAGAAGGTGTGGAGTTAATAAAAGTATTAGTCAGAGGGCTGAAGAGGGGTTGTTGAGGTGGTTTGGTCATTTAGAGAGAATGGATCAAAGTAGAATGACATGGAGAGCGTATAAATCTATAGGGGAAGAAAGGCGGGGGTAGGGGTCATCCTCGAAAAGGTTGGAAGGAAGGGGTAAGGGAGGTTTTTAGGGCAAGGGGCTTGGACTTCCAGCAGGCGTGCATGAGCGTGTTCGATAGGAGTGAATGGAGACGAATGGTACAATGGACCCTCGACATTCGATACTAATCCGTTCCTGAGAGCTATCGAATGTCGAAAATATCGAAAGTCGAAGTTAATTTTCCCCATAAAAAATAAAGGAAATCAAATTAATCCATGCATAACACCCAAAATTATGAAAAAAAAAATTTACCACATGAAATGTTAAGTTTAATGCAATAGAATAATTACAATAACAATAGATTAATAACAATAGAATAATTGACACTTACCTTTAATGAAGATCTGGTGATGATTGATGGGATGGGAAGAGGGGAGAGTGTGAATGGTGTTAGTGTTTAGAAGGGGAATCCCCTTCCATTAGGACTTGAACTGGCAGCCTCACCATGCCTTATCACACTGTGTATGCCACTACGATTCTTAAATCTTTCAAACCAACCTTTGCTGGCCTTAACTTCACTCACATCACCACTAGTTGCAGGCAATTTCTTTACCAAATCATCATGCACTCCGACACACGCACTCCACTTTCGTACTTTGCAATTACAGTGGACCCCCGGTTAACGATATTTTTTCACTCCAGAAGTATGTTCAGGTGCCAGTACTGACCGAATTTGTTCCCATAAGAAATATTGTGAAGTAGATTAGTCCATTTCAGACCCCCAAACATACACGTACAAACGCACTTATATAAATACACTTACATAATTGGTCACATTCGGAGGTAATCATTATGCGGGGGTCCACTGTATCTCTTTCTTCATTTCAATTGTCATTAGCACCTTTTTTCTCGAAGGGTTGGCACTAGAAGCTTTCATGGGGCCCATGGTTACTTATTTTGCAGAAACAAGCACAAAAAACAGTGATAATATGGATAATATGGAATGTACTGAATGTATCCTTAGATGCACACACACTGGCTGGCTTGTAAACACTGGCACACACGGGGCAGTTCAGGCCACACGTGGACACGTCTCGTACGAATCATATCAAATGTCGGGTTTTCCATTGAATGTCGAGGCGAAATTTTTGCATTAAAATGCATCGAATGTCGGATTTATCGAATGTCCATGCCTTCGAATGTCAAGGGTCCACTGTATTTGGGACCTGACGATCTATTGGAGTGTGAGCAGGGTAATATTTAGTGAAGGGATTCAGGGAAACCGATTATTTTTATATAGCCGGACTTGAGTCCTGGAAATGGGAAGTACAATGCCTGCACTCTAAAGGAAGGGTTTGGGATATTAACAGTTTGGAGGGATACGTTGTGTATCTTTTTACGTATATGCTTCTAAACTGTTGTGTTATGAGCACCTCTGCAAAAACAGTGATTATGTGTGAGTGTGGTGAAAGTGTTGAATAATGATGATGAAAGTATTTTCTTTTTGGGGATTTTTTTTCTTTCTTTTTGGGTCACCCTGCCTCGGTGGGAGACGGCCGACTTGTTTAAAAAAAATATATAATATAAATAAACAATTTTAAGTACACTGGTCCTACCCTAAATTATATCCAATTTCTAAGCCATAAGTTGCAGCAAATTTTTACTAAAGGTAAAATCTCCCTGCTATTTAGGTTAAAATATGAGAGGTTGAGTTCTTTAGGCACCTGGGCTTAACCAGCAGTAACAGGTTTCTTTGCTGCATTCATTATTAATGTTTAAATATACTAAACGTGTTCTGTAATATTCAAAGATTCATAAAAGATTATTCACTGAATTTGATACCTGATCCATGCAGCTTATATTATCCAGCTCTGTATTTCATTATACCCAGTGATAATTTCCTAGCAGTTGTAGGTGTCACTAACTGCTTGTATACAGGATTTAATTTTAGCTTCTTGCAAATACAGCAATTGGAATAAACTGTTAAAAAACTTGGTCGATGGATCTGGAAATATCCTGATCTTTTCGTCTAGTTCAATACCAAAGTATAAAAATATACATTTACATTAATGCAATTCTTTTTTTAACATTTGGGCCCAAGACTTTCTTATCATTCAATGGTCATTTACAACTCAGTTGTTACTGGTATTAATTATGAAAAAAATTAATATGAGCAGAACTTCTGAAGAGAAGCCATGCATGCAACAAACAAGCAATATTGAAACAATAACAACAACTAAGGTAAAGGCTTAAACTAATTATAAAAGACTATACAGTGGACCCCCGCATAACGATTACCTCCGAATGCGACCAATTATGTAAGTGTATTTATGTAAGTGCGTTTGTACGTGTATGTTTGGGGGTTTGAAATGGACTAATCTACTTCACAATATTCCTTATGGGAATAAATTCGGTCAGTGCTGGCACCTGAACATACTTATGGAGTGAAAAAATATTGTTAACCGGGGGTCCACTGTATATACAAAGCAGTTATAATACACGTACAATGCCAAAAATGAAGTACTGTATATCAACTGAAAAGGCAAAGATAAATGAGGTATGTCTGTAATATACTTTATATACTTACTTTGCTAATGTTTACAAGATATGATGCAGCAGTGACAATATCCCCTTCATTAACCAGCTGTTCTGCATAAGCTTCACTTGCCAACTTCCACAAGCTGGGGATAAAATAGCTTTTAGATACAGTGGTAACTTGAGTTTCGACCATAATTTGTTCCAGAAGGCTGTTTGAGTGCCGTTACAGAATGAATTTGTTCCTACAAGGAATAATGTAAATTAGATTAGTCCATTTCGAACCCCCAAAAATACACTTACAAAAGCACTTATAATAATACACTTACATAATTGTTCGAGTTGGGAGCTGTACGAAACTCAAGGTACCACTGTATATGTACACTACAGTACAGTGGTACCTAGGGATACGAACAGCTCAAAACTCGAACAATTATGTAAGTGCTTTTGTAAGTGTATTTTTGGGGGCCTGAAATGGTTTAATCTAATTTATATTATTCCTTACGAGAACAAATTTGTTCGGTATCAGCACTCGAACAGCCTTCTAGAACGAAGAAAATTTGTATCCTGAGGTACCGCTGTACTTGTATTTGCTCGTTAAATTGCACTGGAAAACTCCCCAGATGAAGTTTATAATTATTTAACAATTTTTTTTTTTTTTTTTTTTTTTTCAACAAGTCGGTCGTCTCCCACCGAGGCAGGGTGACCCAAAAAAAAAAGAAAGAAAATCCCCAAAAAGAAAATACTTTCATCATCATTCAACACTTTCACCACACTCACACATTATCACTGCTTTTGCATTCACTCAACATTTCCCAGAATCTCTCTCTCTCCTCTACACTTCTCTCTTCTCCAGGTGCATACACGCTTACTATAACCCACTTTTCACATCCAATCTTTATTTTACTCCACATAATCCTTGAATTTATACATTTGTAGTCCCTCTTTTCCTGCCATAGCTTATCCTTCAACATTATTGCTACTCCTTCTTTAGCTCTAACTCTATTTGAAACCCCTGACCTAATCCCATTTATTCCTCTCCATTGAAACTCTCCCACCCCCTTCAGCTTTGTTTCACTTAAAGCCAGGACATCCAGTTTCTTCTCATTCATAACATCCACAATCATCTCTTTCTTATCATTTGCACAACATCCACGCACATTCAGACTTCCCACTTTGACAATTTTCTTCTTCTTATTCTTTTTAGTAATCTTTACAGGAAAAGGGGTTACTAGCCCATTGTTTCCCGGCATTTTAGTTGACTTTTACAACACGCATGGCTTACGGAGGAAAGATTCTTATTCCACTTCCCCATGGATATAAAAGGAAAAGTAATAAGACCAAGAACTATTAAGATAAAATCAAAGAAAACTCAGATGAGTGTGTATAAATAAACGTGTACATGTATGTGTAGTGTGACCTAAGTGTAAGTAGAAGTAGCAAGACGTACCTGTAATCTTGCATATTTATGAGACAGACAAAAGACACCAGCAATCCTACCATCATGTAAAACAATTACAGGCTTTCGTTTTACACTCACTTGGCAGGACGGTAGTACCTCCCTGGGTGGTTGCTGTCTACCAACCTACTACAATTCCATTAATTAAATTGCCAATACAGAACTATGAGAAAGTATGAATACTGGGGTAAAATTTTTATGAAACATGACCAAATAAAAAGACCACAAAGCAGGGTCAGTCCATACAATACTCTTTAGCAGTGAACTGCTAAACACTAAAGATGATTTAGTCACAGTGCTGGCACTGAAAACTGAAAATCCAGAATTTAGCCATTATTCTTATTTACAAACTCTTAGTTGTGAATTCACAGCACTTTATAGATAAAGAAGTTAGACTCTAATACTACCTCAAATGCCTAATAAATTTGGCTTCCAGCATCTTGCTTACCAATTTAACTTTTTTTTAATGCACTAGCCGTATCCCACTGAGACAGGATGCCTTTAAAAAGAAACGCTTTCACCATCATTCACACTATCACTGTCTTTCCAGAGGTGCACAGATACAACAGTTCAGACGTTCCTCTAAACAGTAAATATCTCACATCCCTCCTTTATAGTCCAGGCACTGTACTTTCCACCTCCAGAACTCAAATTTGGCTAACCGGTTTCCCTGAATCCCTTCACACCTTACTCACCCTCCAACACCTCATTAGGTCCCAAAAAACGTTTGTCTCCACTTCTATCTAACATCCTCACACATGCATGCTGTATGTCCAAGCCCCTTGCACACAAAAGCTCATTTACCCCCTCCCTCCAACCTTTTCTAAGACAACTCCCACCCTGCCTTCCCACCACTACATATTTATATACCCTCCAAGTCATCCTATTTTGTTCCATCCTTTCTAAATGTCCAAACCACCTCATCAAACCCTCTTCAGCTCTTTGGATAATACTTCTAGTGACCCTGCACCTCCTCCTAGTGTCCAAGCTACGAAATCTTTGTATAATATTCACACCACACACTGCCCTCAGATACATCATCTCCACTGTCTCCAGCATCCCCTCACTGCAACATTCAAAACAAAATTTATAATTTACATGAATAATATTAATGAAAAGTTTCAGAAGAACCAGTTAGGCTGGATTTGAGTCCTGGAGGTGGGAAGAACAATGTCTGCACTTCAAAGCAGGGGTGGGAATGTTACAGCTGGGAGGATCATTTGAATTATCATGTCTTGAGACATGACAAACTATTAAATGAACATAAGAACATAAGAATGGAGGAACACTGCAGAAGGCCTACTGGCCCATGCAAGGCAGGTCCTTATCAAAACGACCTCTACCTAAAGCTACCCAAGAAATAACTCCCGTACCCAATGACACCAGTCAAACCCAGCCCCTCCCACTCGTGAATGATACTGAATGTTTTTCTCTTTATTGGGAGGGGGAGGGGGTGGAGGCTAACCCCTTTTGGCAGAAAACAGCCATTCTGGTAAAAAATATATAAATACAAAAATACTAACTTTATAGAGACCTGTGGTGCAGAAGCCACCAAGAAAGGAGTAAGCTTCATGTGTCTAGCAGCAGAACGGATATGCTCATCCAGGGTGCCTCTCCAGCAGTGCATCAGGCCAACTTGACTGTCATTCCCACGAGCTTCATGATGTTCAACTATGAAAAAATAAATATAAGCTAATTAAGAAAAAACAAAACTTACATAACAAATGAAGTACAGTCATGCGCCGCATACCGACATTTCGGTCGAAAGACCGCATGTACGATGGTGGCGTAAACAAACCTACTACACATAGTCGTACAAAAGTATAGCATATACAATTATGTACAGTACATAATATTTGATAATGATAATAAACAACCATGTTACTGGTTTACGCATTTACTATACTGTACTTCTTAACGTTATTCAAGAGAATACTTTTTTCTACCTATAAAAAAAAATTTACTGTAAAACAGTATGCTGTGTTACACCAGCAGCAATCTCATACATCTCATGTTTACCACATCGCTTCATACCATCATTTTCCCTTGTACTTGATTTAACCCCTTGACTGTCGCAACCCCAAATCCTGAAGCATCTCCTGGATTCACAAAATTTAAAAAAAAAAAAAAAAAAAAAAATCTTACGAAATGATAGAGAATCTTTTCCCGATTGTAATGACACCAAAAGAATGAAATTTGGTGGAAAACTGACGGAATTATGCTCTCGCGAAGTTAGCAACCTCGGCGATATTTACAAATCGGCGATTTTGCCCACTCTGAGCCCTATTTTCAGCTAATTCCATTGTTCCAGTCGACCAAACTCACAGCTATTTCTTTAGAACTCCATTTTTTCTATCGACTGAGTACAAGAAACTGCCCATTTACCGATTTTAACTACCCAATAACGTGGTCAGAAATTTACAATTTGGCCAATTTCATGAAAATTAAAAAATATGACAATTTCAAAATAGGGTCCAGAATAAACAATGCAGACATTCCTGGCTCTAAAATGACATATTCTTTGTTCATCAGTCATGTCTACAGGCCCCTATGATATTACTCTTGCTTTCTATTTTGAATTTTTATTCAAACAAAAAAATAGAAGATTTACTGTTATGCAGACTACTGCAATACTGTAATAATTGTATAAATAATGTCAACCCATTCATGACTGCATATCAGAATGGCTACTTGGACATTTATTGGAAAATGACATCATTTGCTTACTTTTGAACATCGGCAAAAATCAAACATTTCCCCTAATTTGAGCTCCATTTCAAGGTTCTTTTCATAGTAAAACCAATCAAAATCACCTCTATTTATATGGTGCACACTGACCACACAGACCCATTCTCTCACATGTGGGCCTACAAGCTTTCTCCTGCTTGATTTGAAGCTGCTAGAATTTATGAGTATATATACGTCAAAAATGGTGGCTCGTAAGACGTATATATACGACCAAAACAGTCAAAGCGTTAAATGTTAATAATAATATAAAAAAAGACAGTTACTAAGATGAAGGCAACATACTTTCAGAAGTCAGGAGTGTGTCCATTTGATGTGGGTTTCCAAACATGTTCAGCGCATAGATGAAATCATCCGGAGTAGCCATTTCAGAGTCTTTTTCTAAAATGTAGGAATATTTTTCTGTCGTGTCGACTATAACAGAACGATAATCATCCTCGCCTTCATCCCTAGAGTTACTGAGAGAGAAGCAGGAATAATTAACTGTGAAAGAACTTTTTTTTTTTTTTTTCAACAAGTCGGCCGTCTCCCACCGAGGCAGGGTGACCCAAAAAAGAAAGAAAATCCCCAAAAAGAAAATACTTTCATCATCATTCAACACTTTCACCACACTCACACATTTTCACTGTTTTTGCAGAGGTGCTCAGAATACAACAGTTTAGAAGCATACACATATAAAGATACACAACATATCCCTCCAAACTGCCAATATCCCAAACCCCTCCTTTAAAGTGCAGGCATTGTACTTCCCATTTCCAGGACTCAAGTCCGACTATATGAAAATAACCGGTTTCCCTGAATCCCTTCACTAAATATTACCCTGCTCACACTCCAACAGATCGTCAGGTCCTAAGTACCATTCGTCTCCATTCACTCCTATCTAACACGCTCACGCATGCTTGCTGGAAGTCCAAGCCCCTTGCCCACAAAACCTCCTTTACCCCCTCCCTCCAACCCTTTCGAGGATGACCCCTACCCGCCTTCCTTCCCCTATAGTTTTTATATGCTTTCATGTCTTTCTATTTTGATCCATTCTCTCTAAATGACCAAACCACCTCAACAACCCCTCTTTTTGCCCTCTGACTAATACTTTTATTAACTCCACACCTTTTCCTAATTTCCACAATCCGAATTTTCTGCATAATTTTACACCACACATTGCCCTTAAACAGGACATTCCACTGCCTCCCAACCGTCTCCTCGCTGATGCATTTCCCACCCAAGCTTCACACCCATATAAGAGTGTTGGTACTACTATACTTTCATACATTCCTTCTTTGCCTCCATAGGTAACGTTTTTGACCCCACTATACCTAAACGCACCACTCACCTTTTTTCCCTCATCAATTCTATGATTAACCTCATCCTTCATAAATCCATCAGCCGACACATCAACTCCCAAGTATCTGAAAATATTCACTTCTTCCATACTCCTCCTCCCCAATTTGATATCCAATTTTTCTTTATCTAAATCATTTGATACCCTCATCACCTTACTCTTTTCTATGTTCACTTTCAACTTTCTACCTTTACACACATTCCCAAACTCATCCACTAACCTTTGCAATTTTTCTTTAGAATCTCCCATAAGCAAAGTATCATCAGCAAAAAGTAACTGTGTCAATTCCCATTTTGAATTTGATTCCCCAAAATTTAATCCCACCCCTCTCCCAAACACCCTAGCATTTACTTCCTTTACAACCCCATCTATAAATATATTAAACAACCATGGTGACATTACACATCCCTGTCTAAGAAAGAACTATTAATATAATTAATTAATGATTGCTCTAAGAAATAGTTATTCCCTCACTACTTTGTCCATAAAGAGGTATTTCATGAGCTACATTATTTTGTAGGGAGAGTTGCACAGTGATTTACAGAGTATACCAACCTGTCCTCTCCTAAATCTTCTTCCAAATCTTCTTCCACTTCTTTTATTTCACATTCATTTATGTTATTGAGGCCTGAAATATTTGTCACTTTAAGCTGAGCCAGAAGATTAAGGATGGCTAATTGGTGAAAGCTTTTCTTGCGAGAGCACACCATGTGAAGCTTGGGAAAGAATGACTTGTATACAGCTTTCTTACCACCACTAGCATTACTAGATGGAAAATTTTGCCCACTGCTCTTGTTAGCTCCTGTTTTCTCTATTAAACAAAGGAGGGGAAGAATATGTTACTTATAATATGGTACTTGAAAGAAATAAAATTGTGCTTTTTTTTTTATTCTCAACAAACTGGCCATATCCCACCAAGGCAGGGTGGCCCAAAAAGAAAAAGAAAAGTTTCTCTTTTTAAATTTAGTAATATATACAGGAGAAGGGGTTACTAGCCCCTTGCTCCCAGCATTTTAGTCGCCTCTTACGACACGCATGGCTTACGGAGGAAGAATTCTATTCCACTTCCCCATGGAGAATTATTGTGCAAGAGGATACATAATAAAATTTATAACTGTGCTGGTAAATGCAATACCATCCACAAAACGAGGAGAAAATAATGTCAATTCGTATTCACAAATGAAGAACATTAACATATACTTAACAATGGTAGATTCCCAGCTTACAATGTTCCACACACACATTAGTTTTAGAACCAATTAATTATAGTCTACATGAAAACACTGATTGGCAATTACCAGCATTGCAAACATACAGTCAATTTTTAATAAAAAAAAATTCTGTTGTTTATATACAAAATACATTCATAGTTTGTGAATGTTCATTTTAAACATGTAGAGAGAACATTGAAAATTTTCTCAATGCCAAATTATAAAAAAAATTCTTGGTTAGTTTTCTTTTTTTTACCAAATGCATTGGTATTTGTACCACAAGTTCTTTTTATGTATGGTGAAGAATTCATAATTTTTGGTAGATTGGTTAAAAAGTGTAAATCAAATATATACTTAGTTCTACTGTAAGTGCAGGACATACTGTACTTCTAAAGTGTACTCAAAAGAGGAAACAAAACAAGCATAAAGCACTGCATAAATTATCAAAATAAGTGTAAAATAATAAAATACACATCTGGTAGTATGTTCTGCAAATAAACCGACTGATTATTACAAATGAAGTGTTTTACTAATTTAAAATTCTGAAAACAAACTTTCACTAGAAGCTGACACTTTCTGGGGCTTCTCGGCTTCCTTTACAACTGCCTGT